ACAGCTCCCAGCGTCTTTGTAACTCTGTTGTAGTGGCCTAATCCCGTTGTCCGTAACGATGGTCTCGGTCGTGTCGGATTTTCTTGAGATGTGCTCGCCTTGATCGGTTCGTTCGTTCGTTCGTGGAGGAGGGGTTGATCACAGCGGGTCACTACGCACCAGGTGAGGTCAGTACCCAGAAACAGCGAGCGACCATTGGCAGGCGCGCGATGCGAGAGTGAGAAAACATACATGACTCAACAGTGCCCTGTTCTATTGATATGTGTCGTGTTGTCGTGTGTGGTGACAGGTCGTCGCCGGCTAGGTACAAACGAAGCGGTTGTCCGTTTGCTGTCGAGAAGCGGGCGACAGCAGCGGCGACAAGAGGTGGACGCTGCTTTCTAAAGCACCGCAAGGGACAGACAGATGGAGGTCGTAAAGGCGGGTATCTAAATGCAAGGACAAACACCACATGCCCTGGGAGAAGTTGAAAATGTCGAAAGCTGTCCCATCGGCACCATTACGACAGCTTTCATGCACTGCGTCAAGGACAGGGAATGGCAGGCCTTAAGCTACCTTACCTATGCGCCGGCTTCTAGAAGGTGGCACCTTCCTCCAATAACCTGGTGAGGCAAAGGTGGGCAGTGGCGGGGGACCGAGACGTGGACAGGCTGACGCAGTGCAGTTGGCAGCCTCGCACAGCACACTGGGCGCCGGGGCAGTTTTAGAGCGGCCCGTGGGTACGTTAGCGCTGGTGCAGCTGGATGTTTAGGTACCTAGCAGAGGTACCGCCTAGAGCTAGGTCGGCATCTGTTATCGCTATCTGATTGATGCAGGGCCAACCTTGTTCCCCTCTCCCCCAGGCCACCTATTTTTCCTGTGCTAGAGCGACTACTCTTCCTATGTGCCCGCCATTATCGTTACTGCTCTCGTTGCTACTGTTGTTGCTATTATCGCTGTCTACTTATCGTCGTCGTCCTTATAAAAGTCACCTAGTACACAGGAAATGTAGTCGCCCAGACACAGGAAAACTAGCCGATCTTCTCTCCCCAATTGGTGGGGAGGATCTTTAAGGTGCGCCGCGATGTTCCGTGTAGTTAGAATCACATGGAATGCAAGGATGTGGCATCAGAGGGGACCGACAGACGAGAAGATACCACGTGATGAAACACGTGACAGAAGCTCATATCCTCTGTGAATGCGTGCCTGGCTTAGTCACCCAAGCTCGAGCTGAGCCAATGCAGAGCTATTGACAATCTTGAGAAGAAGACAGCTGCATTTCCTGCCAAATTCTTAAACACTTTGCGAAAAATTGAAAACTAGAACGTACAAGTACTTGGGATGTATACGGAAGCAATTGATGCCTTGCGCCTCCTGCCGACTTTCACCGAGCTTGGCTGTTCTCTATTTGCTCTAAAAGTTGACCATCCCCTGCTATATGATTGGCTCCTCACCGAACCAGACCACGTGACTGTCCCGCCGGAAGCTCCACATCGTCCGTGGAGCTTCAACCCGACCTCAAACTTCCGCAACATCCCTCACCAATCCTTCGTTTCTTCCAATTGAACCTCTGGCCCGCGGAGTGCCCCCGAATCCACCATGGCCGGCGACCACGACGACACGTACCATCCCAAGGATGCCATCAAGACCGCCATTAAGTCCAGCGTCGCTCTTGGCGGTGCTGGTTTCTTCTTGGCCGCCATCACCAACGCCCTTCAGAAGCAGAATGTCGGCGCCATGTCCGTCTTCACCCGCAGCGGAGGCATCATTGCCGTCATGAGTACGTTTAACGAACATGCGAGGGATGCGCGGGGGGGTTTAAATGGGAACGTGTGTGGGCTGACGGAGACACTCGAACAGCTCTCGGCGGCGGCGCGTACGGCTTCACCCAGACTGCCATGGCCAACCTGAGGGAAAAGGACGATGCGTGGAACAGCGCAACCGCCGGTTTCTTCGCCGGTTCTATCCTTGGATTGACGAGTACGGACACTTGCCCTAGGCGATAAACGCTGCATTTGGATTATGGTAGTCATACTTACGCTGCACCACAGCCAAGAGAATGCCCATCGTGCTTGGCCTCGGCGCCGGCTTCGCCGCCTGGCAGGGAGTCTTCGCCCTCACCGGAGGACGCCTCTGGATCAACCGGGCCGACAGACCAGACGAGGAGGAGTTTGACAGCAAGATGGCCATGCGCGCGGCTAGGCGACGCCCGATTGAGGAGACGATTGCAGAGATTGGCGAGGGCAGAGGTGCGCAACCCAACACCCCGTCCATCCGCCCGGAGGCTGACACGATACAGGAATCCGCCCACCCGGCTACGAGGAGCGCAGACGCGAAAGGCTCAAGGAGAAGTACGGAGTCGAGATCAACCCCGTCAAGGCGACAGTCGAGTAAAGAAGAAAAAAACCTACCCCACCATTACCACCACCACAACGAAACCACCAAACCCGCCAAAGCGAGGCATGCTCTTTTTTCTTCCCCGTTTGTACATACACAGGCCCGCGAGAGAAAAACTGTGGGCACGAGAAGAGGAGTCTCATCGGCTAGAGGAATGGAAACTGTATTATTTGTTCCAATGCTCTCTCTGAGCTTTTCGCTGCGCGTAACCTCTCCGCGTGATGTGTGCTTGTCTCTAACGACGCACCCGCCCGATTGCGTCACAACAAATGGTATGTTACTAACAGCACTGCTTTCGCCGATCCCTCGTATGATGACACTCTAGCTTCAGAGGCTGTTTATGAGTTTTTCATGATTCGAAACATCACCGTTCTATCATTTGTCTGATTTACCTTGTGGTTACCTGATTTACTCGCTCTTTACGTCTCTTCGCGGTTGCTAACTACGTCAAGCCAGGTCCTCTGCGAAGCCAAATGCCATGGTGTGCACGCGGGTGCTTGTCTCCCATCACGATGTAAGCCTCCCCCACTGCACTACTGCTTCCCCTCTCTCCATGATGATAGAATAGCTTCAGAGGCTGTTTATGATCAGATATGATTCGACCCATCACCGTTCTATCATTTGTCTGATTTGGATTTCTCACCCCGGCCATGACTGCATCTCTTTGCATTCATCTGTAGCTAACAGCATCGGCCCAGACCTTCCCCAACCGGACAATCGTAGCCCCCGGCAAGTTCTGTCGATATCACCGTAATGTAAGCCAGTTTTCGTCTCTTATGTTGCTCCCTTCCATGATGATACATTAGCTTCAGAGGCTGTTTATGAAAATCTTTCATGATTCGACCTTTCACCGTTCTATCATTTGTCTGATCCCAATCACGAACCACACTCTTCTCTGCCAACTCGGCTTAGTACATTTGCTAACTGTTGGTTCCAAGACTCTCAAGTTGACATATGTCTCGACACCCACGTCACCCGATAGCCTCGCCATTAACGGTACGTAATTCCTCTTCAATACCGTGCCGCCTTGCCCACCCTCAACATGACGAATCCTAGCTTTCAGAGGCTGTTTATGAAATCTTTTCATGATTCGACCCATCACCGTTCTATCATTTTTCTGACCCTGTCCTTCTTCAAAACGCTTGACATACCATCTCGTGGGAAGCAATGACTGACCACCCAACAGACCCCTGATCTCTCCACCGACCACGTCCCTGTGTGATCCTCACCCCAGTAGATGTAAGTTTCTTTGTGCCCATTAGGCGTCTTTGCCCTCCTCCATTTCATGATGAGACTCAGCTTCAGAGGCTGTTTATGAACCCCATGATTCAAACATCACCGTTCTATCTTTTTTGTCTGACACTTACCCCCCGCGCACTATTGTCACATATCCTTCCGAGTGCCGTCAGCAGCTAACCATGTTGCTCAGGTCTCTCTTGTGCCCTGGCCATTCTCGTCGCGTCGCCAGCGTGGCGTGTTCTAGTTGTACTCGTAAGTCAAGTCCACGATCTCCTCCCTACCGCTCCTTCATGATGAGACTCAGCTTCAGAGGCTGTTTATGATTACATCAACATGATTCGAATCATCACCGTTCTATCACTTTCTGATACCCTACCAACTCCCCAAATTACTTGCGCAATGGTTTTGTTTGACATCGTCCGACTAACTCTTGGGCCAAGACTTCTTCACCTCTTACCGCCGATGACTGTCTCGTCTCGTTCTCTCCTCGGACCTGCATGACAAGCAAGCATCGTTACGCCTACTCATGACGGTACGTTCTCTCCATCCTCGTCTCGACCCCATCTTCATGATGATACTCAGCTTCAGAGGCTGTTTATGACAACACATGATTTGACCAATCATCGTTCTATCTTTACATCTGACACCATTCCTCGCATTCCCGTTCTCACACCTGAAATACTTGTCACACCTCGGTTCACTAACACCCTACCTCTGAACCCAGGTGCACCCCTCACTGAATAAAATCGACAGGAAAAAACAAAAGGAAAAAAGAAAAGAAAAAGAGACCCACGCAAAAACAAAATTTAAAAAAATACGCCCTTGCGCTACCGCGGGTCAGCGTCGAACCAAGTGCGCCTGGAGGGATACCAGAGCTCCCCTGTCGAACCAGGTATTATGTTGTGCTGGTGCTTTTACCACTCGGCCATCCGGGGGGATGACCGTGCCGTATGTGAACTGGTTGACGGCTGCTGCCCTCGACGGAGGCTAAGTATCTTTGTCTGCTGCCTAGAGTATGTTTAAGGTGGAACGAGACAAAACGGGAAGGAACCCAAGGGTTGGCACTGCCTTTTTGGGAGGGTTCCGTGAGCTGTGAAAGTTTCCCGGGTTCAGCTGCAATCAAGGGACCTGAGCTGGGCCAACGGCTTCGTAAGGCACCTAGGCAAACACGAAATAGCTTTCCAGCTTTCCACAATCGAAAGATGCTTAGAACGCCAATTGATTGAATCTTATATCTTCTTGGGGTGCATTTTGTCTACACATGGCTCTACGTAGCTATTCCGTAGGCCGCAAACCAGCCAGTATCATTACACTTCCCATAATTCCCCTGAACGCCGAGCAACCCAAAGCAAAATCATGTCCGCCTCATTGATCAAATCCAACCTTTACAAGGTCTTGACGGACTGGAAGAAGGGGTTCGCAAGCAGCTTCTCGTCCGCCATGACCAACCCCTTCAGCTTGGACACCATCTCCTCCTTGCTCATGGACCCCGCGGCAACCTCCTCCTTCCACTTGAGCAGGATCTCCTTGAGCATCGCGCTGCCCTCCTCCATGTCCGTCTTGCTGTACTTCAGCCCGAGGTCCTCGTGCTTCGAAGTGAAGTCTTCGAGCTCGTCGGCCTTGCGCTTCGCCATGCGCACGACCTTGTCGGGGAAGCGGACCAGCTCAGCGACATGGATACCGAAGCTCTGATCGCAGACGCCGTCTTCCACCTTGTACAGGAGCGTAACCTCACGCTTGGTGTTCTCGCCTCCCTCGTTGCCGCCGCTGATGTGTGCTGCAACGTGAAGGTTGTGGACTTCTGGGTGCTCGTCAGCCAGCGCCGTCAGCTCGTGGAAATGCGTCGCGAACATGGCGAAGCATCCAATCTCCTTGACGATGTGCTCTGAAATGGCCCACGCGAGGCCGAAGCCGTCGTATGTCGATGTACCACGTCCCAACTCATCAATGATGATGAGAGACTCGGCTGTTGCCGACTTGAGAATGTTTGCCGTCTCCAACATCTCAGCCATGAAGGTCGAGACACCCTTCAGCTGTGAATCGCTGGCACCCACGCGCGCCAGGATCGAGTCGAAGATGGTCAGCTCAGCTTCGGAGCATGGCACAAAGCATCCGATCTGCGCCATAAGTGCAATGACGCCGATCTGGCGGATGTAGGTCGACTTTCCGCCCATGTTGGGACCAGTGATGATGAGGAAAGAGGACTTGTCTCTGGTTAATGAGACGTCGTTGGTGATGAACTGGACATCGTCTTGCATCTCCAGACACGGGTGTCGGGCTTCCTTGAGAATGGTCTGACCTTGGCCACGGGCGTGGATCGTTGGGCGGACGTACTCGGATGGGGCGTGAACGGAGCAATGTGCAAAAGAGACAATCACATCAAGATTGGCAAGCACGCCGGCAAGCTTTTCCAGAACCGGACAGTAAGACGCCGCAACACCCACAACCTCGTTCACCAGACTGCTCTGGGTGCGGTTGTAGTTTTGAGAAAGCTGATCAAACTCGCGACGGAGGCTTTGCAGGGTCTTAGTGGTGAAGTAGACTCCGTTCTTCTGGGTTGAGCATTCCTGGTAACCCGACTTGTTGCGGATCGCTCCGGCTTCTTGTCTGGTAAGACGCATGCAGTAGCCGTGGACTTTGTGGTTCTCGAGGAAGATCTTCTTGCCCACCTCTTGCTTCAGGTCGCGAGCCGAATCGGAGAACTCCTGGTCAATATCGCGCTTAAGCTTGTCGAGCTTCTTTCTAATGATGCGAAGACTGTCGTCGAACTCGGGCTTGATGATGTACTCGTGGTTGTCCAACGCGTCCAAGTCGACCGTTGTCTCAACCATCTCTGCAAGCTTCACGAGACTATCGGAGAGTTCGCGCAGAGGGATTGTGTAGGCTTCGTCGAGAGGGTCCTTGTACTGCTCGTCCATGACGCCCTCGAAAGTGCCCAGGAAACCAGGGAGGCGAATGACAACCTGGTATGCGCGGACCACGTCCTCGAGATTCGCCTTGCCTCTCTGGAAACGCTTGGCCAGGCGGTACAGATCGGGAACGGAACGAAGGTGCTCCTCTTGCATGGTCTGTCTCAGCTCCGTGTCGTTCACAAAGGCCTCGACCAGTTGCTGGCGCTTGGTAATCTCCTCTTTGCTCATGAGCGGCTGCTTCAGCCACTGAGACAGCAGTCTGCTACCAACAGGAGTCTTGCAGTGGTTCAACAAGCCGTACAAGCTCATTGTCTTGGCACCATCACGGGCGCCGGGCATCAGGTTGAGAGCCTTCAAAGCCGCCGCATCCAGCTTCATATACTGGGAGAGGTCGTGCTGGTAAAGCTGGTACTGCCCAAAGTTGGAAGGGTCATGGAGCACGCCAAGGTACTTGATAAGTGCCGCGGCGGAGCCCATCGCCAGCTTGAGGTCTGTCTGAGGGAGCAGGGTAGTAGCCCGCTCGTCCTTGAGAAGACGCGCCAAGTCCTGCTCAATGTCCTTAGTGCCAAACTCGCCACCGGATCGCTCCGAGATCGCCACGCCGCAGTTGACGATGATTTGCTTCAGCTTCGTCAAATCCGGGTCCTTGGCCTTGTCGGCCTTGTCCGTCTGGATCAGGCACTCCCTGACACCCAGCTGGATGAGGAGAGCCTCGAAGTTAGAGAACAAATCGTTGTCGAGGAACTCGCTGACGCCCAGCTCTCGCACGCTTGCGTCTGCGAAACAGACTCCCACGCTCCTTGCCTCAGATGCTTTCGTAGAGATCTTGACGGCTAGAATCATGGGTGCGTTCTCGATCTGTCCACCCAAGTCCTCCTCGACATCCTGCAGGTTGCCGGGCGACGCCTGCTTGACGACCTTCCAGTTCATGCGGCCGCCGGTGCTCTCCCATATCTCTATCCTCTTTCCAAGCTTGAAAAGAGCTTCTCGAAGAAACTGTCGGAATACCGTGACCGTCATTGTCACGGAGGCGAGTCCGGTCTTGTCATCTCGGCCGAGTGTCCTCACGACGGACGTGGTCTTGTATACCTGCACAAAGTCAGTACTGCAGGCGGCTTGCTACGGTACGGTCCAACATACTGTGCGGGCAATGAAGTTGGCATCTTCGCCGTGTGCGGTGTACCAATCACCTCGGTCGAAAATGCGGACGGTGTCTTCGTGGACGGTTGGGAGGGACTTGAAGAAGCGGATGAAGCCGTGCTCGTCGTCGACCTGGTGACGTATTAGCCAATTGAACGGGGAAATATGCAATTGTAGTACAAACCTTCAATTCAGGCCTGGAAGACATCTTGGTATATAGTAGAACGCTCAAAAAAGACAAGTGAGAATGAGAAGAACGTTGTGGGTGAAATGAGTGTAACCGGCGAGTATCACCCTCACGAGTGCAGCTTGCTTTAGGTACCTTACGCGGGTGTTAAAGTGGTTTCCCGGGAGCGCGTCTTCGATTGCCATTTCGCGTCGCGACAGCGCTAGTCCTCCTTGGGCTAGGCATGTCTGACCGCCTCAGTGTTTCTGCCGCAGCTGGGAATCCTGACCAGTAGTCTAGCCCCATTCTGGTTAAGCGTTGAAAGCTCTCTACTGGTGCTGATTTTGAGATTCGAGAATTGTTCATGACTATTCAACGTTCTAACAGGCAGATCGACCTCAACAGCTGAGTCTCAATTTCAGCTCCAGCACATTTCATCGTCTTTAATTCAGGCTCAATTTTATCCACTTCGCATAAGAAACGTCAAGCAAGCCCATCAGCGTGCATGCTCTGCAGAACGCTGCACCTAAGAGCACGAACTCAGTGTCTCCGTGCAGCACCGTCGTCCGCCCCGCCATTCCCCACAAACGGCTTAGCGTCTCTCTCCAAAGGTGCAGCTGCGCATCGGCTCCAGGTCAACCATCGCAAACCATCGCCGAAATTTCCAAAAAGTCCCCCACTTCGCACCCCAAACTTTGCACTCGTCACCAGCCTCACAACCACAAGGATGGCTTCCACGGCTGCAGACCCTGTCACCCAGCCGGCCGTAGACCTCGAGATGGCCGACAGCAACCAAGAAACCACATCCGCCGTCCCTGTGACCGCCAATGGCGACAACGGTGCCGCAGCATCAAGTAGCGGGGCACCCGAATCCGAAGCTCAACCTGCCTCCAAAACCGCCGCTGAGAACGACAACGACGCCTCCCCCGCCGTCGCCGAAGAAGAACCCAAACTCTCCAAGAACCAACTCCGCAAACTGAAACGCAAACAAGCATTTGAGGAAGGCCGCGAGGACCGCAAGCGCAAGCGCAAAGAAAAGCGCCACGACCGCCAGGCCGCCCGCCGCGACCAGATCGCCGCCATCGTCGCGGACGCCGAGGCCAAGGGTCTCGACCGCTCGCAGATCATCATCCCCCCGAAGCGCAAGACCCCCAAGGTCCCCGCCGTTCAGACGCCCGTCACCCTCATCCTCGACTGCGACTTTGAGAGCTACATGCTCGACAAGGAGCTCGTCAGCCTCGCGAGCCAGATCACGCGCTGCTACTCCGACAACCGCCAGGCGCGCTACCGCGTGCACCTGTACGTCAGCTCGTACGGTGGAAAGCTCAAGGAGCGCTTCGACACGACCCTGGGCGGGCAGCATAACGGCTGGAAGGGCGTGAAGCTCGTCGAGAGCAACTTTGTGGAGGCGGCGAAGGATGCGGATGAGTTGATGGCAGGTCAGAAGGGCGGCGAGGTGATTGAGGTGCTCAAGGGCGAGGGCAAGGAGAAGCCTGCTGTTATGAGGGATGTGTACGACAATGCGCCGACCCCCGACCACGAGCCGGAACCGGTGGACGAGTTGAAGAACATCGTCTATCTCTCTGCCGATTCCCCGAATACGATCGACCGCCTTGAGCCTGGTGTAAGCTACGTTATCGGCGGACTCGTCGACCGCAACCGCGAGAAGGGTCTCTGCCACCGCCGCGCGAGGGAGCTGGGGATCAAGACAGCAAAGCTGCCTATTGGGGAGTACATGAACATCTCCAGTAGAAGGGTGCTTGCTACAAATCATGTGGTGGAGATCATGCTCAAGTGGCTGGAGACCGGCGACTGGGCCGAGGCGTTCCTGAGCGTTATCCCCAAGCGCAAGGAGGCACATCTCAAGGGCGAGGGTGGCAGCGCGAGCGGGACACCGACGGCAGAGGTCGAGGACAGTAGGTTCGAGGAGGAAGACGACGAAGACTTGGATGAGCAGCAGACCATTACGGAGAATGTTGCGGTGCCCGAGCCAGCAGAGGCAAAGGGCGAGGAGGCCAAGACGGCCGAGAGTGCCTCATAGCCTGCATTTGACAGGTGATAATTAGATCCAATAATACCCCAGTTGCTGTGCCAAGACAAGAACACCGACCCCGGTACCGAGTTTGCCCATCATACAAGTCATGTCGAATATGCGCTCAGAATTCCATCGAGTCGTCTTCCCTCTCCCTCTTGACCTTGCTATCCCTCTCGTCCTTCATCAACCCAATCACAAAGGACCGGAATTGCTCCACGTACGGCTTCAAGCTCGTCTTCTCCCAGTCCTGCACACTCTTTTGCGCCCCGTCGCCCTCCTCCTCTCCCTTCCACGCATCAATCTCTGCCAACAAGCCTTGCACCGTTGGCACGCTCAGGGGATCGAAATACTCGAGGTTCTTGGTGTCGATGGGTACACACACCCTGCCGGTGCCGGGGTGCACGACGAACGGCGACTTGAGCAAATGGTTCAGCTTCTTGCTGACCTCGATATCGAGGCGTGGGTACGTGTACTCGAGGAGAATGTCCTGCTTTGCGTCCAGAAGCCCCCTCGCGTCAAACTTCTTGCCAGCGCTCGTCTTAGCGACGGCGTCGATGTCGGCCCACTTATTGATGGAAGACCGGCCGGGGGAGGCGTCCCACTTCTTGCGGAGGTTGTCGATGAGCGTCTTGTCCGGAAGGAGCTGTAGCAGGCGCTCTGCGCGTTCGTTAGAGGCCCAGGGGTCCTGGTTTTCGAGGACGTCTTCTTGGAAGTGTGGCATAAGCGTGTCCAAGCTTCGTCTGCAGCACCAGTTTAGTGTTTCGCTTTGGGACAAAGAGTGAGGGATGCTTACTGGACATGGGGATGTAATGGCCGCCACAGGTTGACCTTCTTTCCACTTTGCGCTCCACCTTTGATGACCTCGAGATACCCTGCGATCGACCGCCTCATCTGGTCGCCCATCGTTCTGGCCTTCTTGTCGCAAACCCACGCGTGGGCACCTCTTCGTCCAGAGTAAACCCACATGATGTGCTTGAAACCAAAGTCGTCCCGCAGGGCAACGTCAACCACCTTAATCGCCATAGTGATGAACTGCCAGCACTTGATGCAAATGTTGGCCTTGTCGCAGCACGTTCTAATGTCGTCGTAATCCGTCAAATCGATATCGAAGCAGAGTTCCTTGGCGAGGGGCTTGAAGGCGCTGGCGTTGCGGAGGGTCTTGCGGTCACGGGGGTTGGTGCTGTAGACGGGGCCGATTTCGAAACGGGAGGGCATGAGGCGGAGGACGTCTTTGCGGAGGCTGCAGCACGTTAGGGTGGGTTCTTCAGCATTGCAATGAAGTCCACGCTTACAGGTCATGTGTCGCAAAAGATTGGTATCGTAGGTATGCGTCGTTCTGCAGTGTGAAGGCGAACTCTCTGTGGCCAAAGTCGTTCGTCGGGGAGGGGCTGTGGTTGAGCCACTGGAAGAGGTATCGCCAGGGAAACAAGCGCTGGTAGAAGCTGCGCATGATTTCGGGGTCGGAAGCCTTCATGTGTGCGATATCTCTGCCTCGCACGTCAGGATGGAGCCAAGAAGTTTTGACTGCAGAACTCACGTTGGAGAGGGGGGCGTGAGGATCTCAGGAGAACTCTCAGGAGTTTCTTGCGGTTTTGAGCTGGGAAACTCGTCGTCTGAGTCCGCATCGTCGAACAGGTCCTCCAACTTGATATCCTTCTTTTGCTCGGGAGCAGAGGCCTCGGGGGCAGAGACCTCGGGGGCAGCAGCCTCAGCCATGGCAACGTCGCCGTCAGTCGCCTGGCTGTCGGCATTGGGCGGGACAGGAGAGTCGGCCATTGTCTCGTCGGGAACCGCTGTGGGAGAATTGGCTTCTGGCGATACAGAATGAGGCATATCTGAGTTTGGGGTTGTGTGTTTGTGTGTCTGGCGACTCGCTCGAAAGTGCAACCGTCAATCGTCGCCGGTGGTGGGTTGCCGGGGCCTTGAGTGCGGGCGGGTTGAATGATTCAATGTCGCGTCTCAGACGCGTTGTTCGCGTTAATTGTCCATGGACCCCTGTCTCATGCTTAGTCATCTCCTGCACGTCCTTGCAGGGAGCTGGCGTCATGGGCAAGGGCATGGGCCTAGGCATCCCAGCTGAAGCTATGTCCAACATCTGCTTTCCCTACCTACCTTGATGTTGAATTCGTATACCATCCTTTGAGTCGCTTCAGAACCCAAGGTTTTGATTGATCTTGACTAATATTAGCAATGGGATACCCCGTCCTTCGCATGGCGCTCACCGCGCTCGCGGTTCTTCTCGCCCAGCGCCAACTAGCAGCACAAGCACGCAGAAGAGACAAGCGCCTCTCACACTCGGATGAGCGTGTGCTCATCATCGGAGCTTCGAGCGGCGTCGGTCGCGCCGTAGCAAAGCAGTATGCCGCCCGCGGAGCACGGATCTGCGTTGTCGCTCGCCGCGCAGACGAGATCACCACCCTGGCCAAGGAGTGCGGGGACAAGTGCATATGGCAAGTCGCAGACTTCAGCAATGTTGAGGACCTTGTCAGTCTAAGGAACCGGCTTGAGAAGGAATGGCAGGGCCTGGATACGCTACACATTTGCGCGGGGGTATCGGCTTTGCAACCCGTCATGGCCCTCACCGGTGTCAAGTCCGCGGAGGAGGATGCCGAGGCCGTTGGGATTCAAGCGGCAGTCAATATCGCGGGGCGTGCTATCAAAGGCAACTTTGATGGGCCTCTGGCTTCCGCGCTGACATTTGTAAGAGTCCAAGGAGCCACGCACGGCTTTGCTTGGCTATATGACTGACAAACTCGCAGATTCCCATGTTGACGAGAACGTCAAAATCTCCCTCGATACTCCTTGTCTCATCAGTTGCCGCCGTCATCCCCGCGCCGACAAGAGCTCTCTATGCCGCAACCAAGGCTTCTTCTCTCCTGCTGTTCCAGTCATTGGCCATCGAGCATCCGAAGATCGCCTTCACTTTCATCCTGCCCGCCACCATTGAAGGAAACTTCCGAGCGTCCGCAGTGGATTCGGGCCCCGTGAGGGAAGAAGACCCCAACAAGCACGGGTTGAAGATCGACTACGTCGCTGAAAGATGTATCGACTCGGTCGACCGTGGTGTGACGGGCAACGTAGTGCTCCCGAAGATGCCGTATGCTATCGCGCAGTATCTGTACCTTCTCCGGCCTTCTTTCATCGAGGGTCGGGCTCGTAAGAAGTACAACTTTGAGGCGTAGGAAGCGGACTGGGTTCTGAATCAACAAGTACTACAGGCGAATTCTTCCTGTACACTTGGATGTCATGCCATGGGCAGGCCCATGACTCGATGATCGTAATGTCAAATATTCCATACCGTATACGTTTCCGTACTTGGCAGCATGAATGTCAGTAGCAGACCATCATCCCAGCTAGTGCACTGTCGTCAAGCTGACTGCGAAGAACAGCCCAGTCGTTCGCTGCTCGGCATTCGTTCACTCAAGTCATTGAAACCAGATACAAGTTACTGCTTCATTATTCGTACATCACTACCCTGGTCAATCCAACAAATATTATCCAACAGTAGCACACGCCCTATGGCGTCCTATGACGCATTCACATCCTTTCAGCCTTACGACCCCTTCGGCGTCCAATCATTATATAACACAGGCATCTCCTGTCGCTCAGATCTGCGCTCTCAAAAACCGGCCGATGATGGGCGGAATAGGGTTCCCTTCTGTCTTCTTGAGCTTGACATCTGCAACGAAGTCTGGAAGATACCCGCCAAACATGATGTCAATGTCGCTATCTCGCCTCCAAGCACAGAAACGTCCATATTCCACCATGAGCTCTGGGAGCAAACGGAACGTCGCGCATCGGTATGCTAGCTCGACATGTCGCTCCACAGGGCGGTCACGTTGGAACAGCGCTTCTCCCTTGCAGTACGATGCGAGCGTGTCGTGAAACAGCCATGCCATGTTGTATCTGTCCGCGAAGAGCATCAGTTGGACAAGCTTCAATTGGTAGAGCTCGGCCTCGACACGAAGTATCGACATGCCGAACACCGGGATTTTCTCCATATTCTGGAGATGAGGCTGAACACATTCGCGCCAATATCTGACTGTTTGACTTCTTCCCTCGGCGTTGTCGGCTGTCGGAGCGGTCGCTGCTGCGCTTTTCTGACTCATCTGCAGCTCATAGTTGCCGTAATCCCGAAGTCTTATCTCCTCGGCAGATGTGCTTATGCTCCAAGGCATCGTTTGGAACTTCTCGGGAGGAACGGCCGCTGGAGTCACATTTCCCACACGAACGCTGTCATTTTTGACACATGTGTGCGACAGCATTGTGATAGGGTGACGTGCGGCTGGGGCGCAGTGCTTTTGGAGCAGTCTTCGAGGGATGAAAGGGACTTTGCCTGTGTAAAGGAATTGTGTCATGAGACCGACGACATCAGGATGGTCCATTAATCGGAGCTTCTTAGCCCCGTGACCATTCTTTTGGCGCTGGAGCGTCTCTCGAAAGCAGGCGCAATCCGGGTTGGCAAGTAGGATGTTCGCATGAATCGAGATTTTTCTTCCCTGAGGGCCGACGATGAAATCGACCATTGTACTGCCAAAGTAGCTTTGAAATTTTAGTAACTTAACAGTAAGCGTGATGATGCGGGTGGGACATACTCAAAGACGGCTAGTCTTGGCCCTTCTGCAGGCGTGGTCTCGACCGTGGATGCAGGAGGTATGACAGGTAAAGGCCTTGGGCGTAAGGTGGCTGCGATTGCTTCCATTCTGGAAACATCATTGCGGAGGCTGTGGCCGCCTGTGGCGATAACGTTCATTATAACATCTCCCACAGATGTGTTGTTCACAATTGCCAGTTCTCGCGGCAGCTGGCTACTGATATCCTTCATCATCTCGTCTTCAGCTCTTCCTGCCATCTTATGTTTCTCGGGACCAGAGCCTTGAATGCCAGTTCGAAATGCTTCTGGGGGATCTTGCAGCTGTCAGCTTTTATCAGTGCAAGGATAGAAAAAGAAGCAACTTACTCCTCTTAGGTTTGTTCGTTGTTGTTCGCTGCGGCAGTCTGCGGCAAACTGTTGACTGTGAATCGATTGTTTCCGATGTGAACAATCGAAGTGAGTGTTGTGCGAGGGAAGAAAAAGGATACGAGCAGAATCTGACGAGGTGAGGTGAAGAAAGGTGAATCCTCACTTTGCTCCTGCCCCCTTTGTATGTGACCATGCATCGCACCTTCCTCAAATTATTTTTCAGTTCAGTACGTAAGTATTCTCTTTCGCATGCGTCAGACTCATCCATTGCTTCCAATCGCTTGCACAAATAACCTTTTGTTATTTCAATCACCATCTATCAGTCTATGAGATGAGTTTAAGTACCTAAGCTATCTCCTGCAAACTTTGAACTGAGAATTGAGAATACGCAGCGTCGTCCTGTAGTTGTTACAGTAGATTTGGAAATCTGAGTACCCCCCTCGCTGAAAGTTCACTTTGAAGACAAAACTTATACTTGCTGTTGAGGAAGCATCTCGAACTGATTCCTTCGCATCTCATTTTAACCAGTGAGTCGACATGTTGATCGGATTATGACTTCTCTTTCTGTTGAAGGTGAAAACCTCAGACTAGGTAATCCACTATATCTGGACTGCAAATTTATTCACGATTTCGACTTTTGTCACTCAATACACACGTACCCCTTGGAAACTTTGATACTTCAATTCGAGAGGCTCTACGGTCATTACCGTGATGTCGACGCCAGATGAGTCTCCATCCCTAAGTTGCGAGCCATGACGAACAGAAACTCCACAGGCACCAACAACACGTACAGAATATGTGCATCGCCTTCCGCATCTCATGCAGCGACGTTGGAAAGGCAGCCGAACTGGCCAACCGGATCGCATCCAATTACCTACACCCGTCAGATAATCATGTCCACCGGTCAGCCAAACCCCTGGCTAGGTCCAGTCCGAGCATGCGCCCAGTATGTAGTCACGGAGGTGGAGCACGAAAAAGGAGCTTTTACCCGTTTGGCTCGTTGCATACAAATTTGGGTTCGTTATTGCATATGTCGTCTAGATAAAGTAGAGATCATCTTGGGAGGACCCGGCTTGCCGCTCGGGTGGCTCAAACGACATGTCATTCTTGACATTTGCAGGGGCTTGGCGCTCAGCCTGCAGGGAATGCAACGTGTAAGCAGTACGACGTTGTCTTCGTGACGGGCGATGAGGAGCATGCGACAGCCTGACTCCACGGAAACGCATGTGAAATCAATAACTGGGGTATCTCAGAAACTTGAAGTCAGATCTTACACCGCAGATTCAAGGTGTTGGTCGTAATAGGCAGATGGTCCATATCGTTGCAATTTCGATGCGAAGCAGCGTTGTCAACAGTCATCCCAAGAACAACATCACCGATTGCAGGTGTTGCTGATGCAGAGGCATCGTGCCATCATAGCATCATGCAAATCCCCGCTCGCCCACCAACAAGGATCCCCGCATCTCCTCTATCTTCACCTGTAGGCTGCAGACGACGTGAGCCATATCGCAGCGTTGCGACTGCAACCAACTCCTGCTGTGCGACCAGAGATTCATAGGACGATGGCTCTTCTCCATATCTGCGGCTTTGCCCCGCCTCCAGAGCCTGATTTTGCAAGGAATGATAAGAAATGATTGATGCCCGTTCTCAAGTTGCCGTTTGGCGTATCTGCTCACCTTCTTTTCTCTAAAAGTCATTGTGTAAACTCAAGTTTTGTTGTACAACGGGGTCTGGTCGCCATGGACACAGTCCTTTCCCCCGCCAATGGGACTATCCCTCCCTGGCAAAATCTCCTGGGCGAAGCGCAGAGCCACAAGACGAGCATTGTTCTTCTAACTCCAGCTCTGAGCTGCTTTGTGTGGTTCCTTGTCTCGTGGTCAACATCTCCCTTGAAGAAGTACCCCGGGCCATTTCTTGCAGGTAAGATACAGACCTCGACATCATGTTCCGTCCACCAGTGGAAAGGAAGTTAAGACTTACATTTCCCCTTAGGATGGACCAACCTGTGGCGTTTGTGGCATACGTACAACGCCAACTACGCACCAACGATGAAGAAGCTCCATGATAAATATGGCCCGATCGTACGCCTAGGCCCCAATCTACTAGATATCGACATTCCCGAGTTGATCAAGATTCTGTATGGCACGGATGGAAAATGGTCTAAGGTAACGTACCTGGCCTGTCAGAGGCTTTCTACTGAGGGAGGCTGTGCTAAGTATCAACCAGTCCGACTTGTACAAGAACAGCAGCTCCATCATCAACGGAAAGATCACATATCACATGTTCTCAGAGACGAACAATGTCGAGCACGCGCGGATGAAGAGGCCTGTGGTGCGGCATTACTCCGTACCCAGCGTCCTCGCCATGGAACCGCATATGGACAGGTGCATCGACGAGTTCTGCGACCACCTGCAAAAGCGCTTCGTAAACACCGGCGAAGCTTGCGTTTTTGGCGACTGGCTGGCTTTCTGTAAGACCTCTCAAGATTATATCCCCTTGTGTGTTCCAAGGCTTACTTTTCTAGTCGCATGGGATTTTCTTGGTGCCGTCACGTTCAGCAAGAAGTTCGGATACATGGACGAGGGCCGCGACTTCGATGGCACGCTTGCGGTGGGAGACCAGTCTATTGACTATCTCGGCCTCTGCGGGCAGATGCCTTGGATGGACTACTGGCTGGACAAGAACCCCGTTTACCCACTCGGGCCTCCTAATTTATCGAACGTCACAAGAATCGCTGTGGAGCATTTAGCTGCCCGGCTCAAGGGTGAGGACAAGAATTTTATTCCCGAAAAGCCCGACTTCCTGCAGTATTTTGTCGACTCGAAGGGCACCCATCCCGATATCGTGGATGAGGGAACAATCATCGGATACCTCCTCCTGAACCGTAAGCAGACACTTTGAACGCATATCCGAGCTACTTTGTTGACGTACCCTACAAACAGTCATCGCTGGAGCCGACACTACAGCAATCACAATGCGTGCCCTCTTCTACTACTGCCTCAAGAACCCTCGCATCTGGAAACGCCTTGAGGAAGAAGTCGTCACCAACATCCCCGCCGACAAACCCGCCCCTCACGCCGCCGCCCGCGCTCTGCCCTACCTCGAAGCCGTCTGCCGCGAGACGCTGCGCTTCCACCCCGCCGTCTCCATGACCATGGAACGCATTGTCCCGCAAACCGGCCTCGCCCTCCCAGACGGCTCCGTCGTGCCCGGCGGCTCGCTCATAGGCATGAACCCCTACATCGTCGGTCGTAACAAGGATGTCTACGGAGCTGATGCGGACGAGTACCGCCCCGAACGGTGGCTACAGCAGGACGGGGAAGACGACGAGGCGTACAAGCTCCGGATGAGACAGTGGAATGCCACGGACATTGTGTTTGGCGGCGGGTCGCGCATCTGCTTGGGCAGGAATCTGAGTCTGATGGAGATTTACAAGGTTGTCCCGTCGCTGATTGCGAGGTTCGAGATTGAGTTGGTGGACCCGAATGAGAAGTGGTGGACGAGCTCGCGGTGGTTTTACAGGACTCAGGGGGTGGTTTGCAAGTTGAAGAAGAGGGCGCCGAGCACTGCCTGAGCGGACATTCATTGCCCGGTATGATCATTGCGCGAGGTCTACTATGGAAGGTAGGACAGGCATTGGAATGCTCGAATGGTCGAACTTGCGAGCGGGAGCTTCATCTCACAGTCATACCAGGGACATACTCAAAGTGTGATTCAATTATCCGCTGCTCTAGGTAGCATTATTCAGAGTGTAGAAGCAAACGTGCCGTTCTTGCAGTCGAAACCCAGCTGGGGGTTCAGATCAGGCATCGCGTTCATGCAGATTAGCTTGGACTCGCTCTTGCTCTGCGGGTGAACCTTGATGTCTCTGGTCTGGAAGTTCTTGCACGACTTCTCGGTGTTGCACTCAATGATGACGGCTTCCGTGTGGGTGAGGTTGGTGAGGCCAACATTGTACCAGCAAGGCTGCGAATTGTCAGCAAGAACCCTAGGTATTGAGCAGAGTGGTCGGGACTTACGTCTGAAGTGCAGGATCCATCACCAGGGCTATATGTGTTAATATTGCCCGAGAAGTGCTCCCACGTGAAGTCCTCCATCATGACAGACGAGTTGTTGGGTCTGTCGCCGCCAGCACTGGCCTGGTTGAAGTATGTCTGGGTGACAAAGATAGGGAAAGTCACGTTGTCGACACGGATGTTGCTCCAGGTGATGTTCTTGGCCAGACCCTGTCCCCCGATCCAGCTCTTGAAGCGAGCAGCGTACAATCCGCCCTTGACGGTGACGTCCTCGAATCGGATGTTCTGCACGTCGGCAACGGACGCGACCTTGGATCCGAGGGAGCCAACGCTCATGCCGTGCGTCTCGAAGCCGATGGTCGCGTGCTTGAAGACAACGTTGTTCGCGCCGTCGTTGATCGCAATGGCGTCGTCGCCGTTGAAGATGTTGCTGTTGGTGATGGTCACGTCCTTGGCGCCGACGTCGAAGCCGTCGGTGTTGAAGGGAAACGCGCTGCTCGAGGAGCGGGCGTCGATGACGGTGTCGGAGATGGTGATGTTCTTGCCCTTGATGGAGAAGTTCCAGCCGATGGGCTTCAGGGACTTCATGTGCTTCATGACGCCGTTCTGGACGTTGAACTGCATGAGATGAGGGCGGTTGGGGGTGCCCGCCTGACCGGGCTGGTTGAGATCCCACCAGGCCTGTCCGTGCGACTTGATCCATCCGGCATGAGGCTATTCATAGTTCGGTCAGCGCGTGTTCGTGGGCAGTAAGTTTGTAGCCAAAAAAGAAGAGACGCACATCAGATGAGCCGATCCATTGCACGTTGGTACCGCCGATTTGGAACCACGTGAGGGTGCCGCCCTTCGCCTCGACAAGCGACTGCATGGCTGGAATGTCTTGAGGCAAGGTCAGGTTTCCCTGCACCTTGATGATGACATTGTTCAGCTTCGCGACAAGGGGTTCGTAGATCTTGTACTCGACGCCGGCAGGGAAGATGATCTCGGAGTTGTTGGCGCACTTGGTGAAGGCCTCAGCAATGGCAGGCGAGTCCGACGCGTCGCCCTTTGAGGGGACGATGGTACACCTGTTGGCCCAGGAGGGAGCTGCAGCTGCAGGGGCCGCGAGGCATACAGCCAGCGACAACAGATGACCGTACAGCATTGTGGCGAACCAAGACTTCCGAGGATCAAGAAGCGATGAACGTTGACGTTGGCAGACACTATCAATCACACGGGGGACCGGGAGCCAAGGCGGGTGTTATAAACGCCACAAAGCTTCGGTCGATTCATGCTCCATCTTTCGGATTTGAGGGGTCGCGAACGTTGCATCTTGGACCGAAGCCTATCTGGTTTTAGCAATTTGAGTTGGGCCAGGATGACATGGGTTGCGCGGAAATGAGCCCGGTAGCACATAAGCAGCAAGGTCAAGATATGACAAGGAGGAGGCTCTCAGCAACGAGGGGTGGGGCCGTTGAAACCAAGGAGAGAAACGAACGCGAGATCGGACGACCTGCTTTAATGGAGGGGAATGGTTGATGGAAATTGTATCTCCGGTTGGAGCTAGCCTGCAACTGATCGACCACGCCTGCGTTCGTTGGTTCCCCCGCGCGCGGAATTGCGCTGGACTAGGATCTGGGGTCGGATGACCGGCACCTTGCGGCTCCTGTCAGGGGAAACAGGAACTTTGGTAGTCAATTTTCTCACATTGAGAACCAGGAAATACTTTCATGGACGGAGAGAAGACCATGTTGGAGGACCAATGGTTCGGGAATAACATCTATGGAAGGGGGCGGGATACCGCCAGATTAGTCCAGCTATCCATCGTGGAAGATCTGGAGAATATGTCCGTCTTGGCACTTGTGCGGTCTGTCATGAATTCCGGTGAACTTTGCTGTTATCTCGAGGACTCGAGCGGGCGTATTTGAATTGGTTTGCAGCTGTGTATCCTTCACTTACTCATGCAACCTGAGCCTCCCGCTTACAGACCGTTGGAAACTCCGGTCGCTCCAACGCTAAGCTGAGTCAAGCCAGTCCGGTATCTGGGCTTGTCTCTCTCGGCGTCAGCGCCACACGCGAAGCTGCCTCTCATGTTCAAATCGTTGAATATCCAGATAATGCGCCTTGTTGTCGTTGAATCTGTACCAGCATGGGAGGAGGCAGATGCGCGAGGGCGACTCCTTGAGGTTCTGGTCCGAGGCCGCATACCAGACGAATCGGGAACCCAACCAATGAGACGAATACAAATATGCAACCTTGAACAAGCCAAGTCAGCACCCAAAGGCATCCTGCATGGTTTTGGCGGATGTGCAGGCAGCTGGTGATGATGCTGTCCGTCGGCGGCGGGCTTGAGCTGGACCGACAGAGACCGAACAAAAAGAAAAGACCCAGATCCAAAATCCAGCTACTTTTTGCGACCCCCGAACCAGACTCAATCCGCCAAGCCCCACCAGTCCGAGTGGATCGATCCTTCGAGGGTCGCAAAAAACATGCAAAAGTTTTCTCGCAGCACCAGAAGTGTGAAGCTCCAGGAACTCACGATCTTATGTAATGATTGCTTACATAATCTGGATCCCCGGTCGGCGCCTGCCAACGCCGCTGGGACGCCTTCATGACGGCAAGAGCCCCACACAGAGCCAAAGAGAACCTGCTACTGGCACAAGCCCGCGGTCGCACCCACCGCAAAGCTCGAGTCTCGTCCACCCCCCCGGTCACTTTGTGGGCGACGCGCGCGACGCCTCGACTCGCCTCGCCTCGATAATTCCACCTTGCTGGCCCACGAAGTTGTTCAACTTCATGTTGACAGCTTCCCGACTTTCCCGCCGAGTCATGACGTCCGCATACGCCAATGGCTCCGCCAAGGCGGCCTACTCTTCCTCCTCCGCGACGACTACTGCTCTGAGCAGATGGAGCATTGCGGGCAAGCAGCTGCCGGCCGTTGATAAGATCAAGGCCCTGCACATTTACGATTTCGACAACACTCGTCAGCGCTCCCTACCTGTGTGTTACCCATTTGCGCCGCTGATGCTAACCCAACCCCCCTTTTGTAGTCTTCAAAACCCCCCTTCCGAACAATGCAGTATGGAGTGGCCCTACCATCGGCGTGCTTTCCTCGCAAGATATGATCTGCAACGGCGGCTGGTGGCACGATTCCCGAATCCTCGCAGCGACCGGCGAAGGCGTCGAGGCCGAAGAGAAAAAAGCCTGGGAAGGATGGTGGAACGAGACGATTGTCGACCTGGTCAGGCTGAGCATCAAGCAGAAGGACGCTCTGTGCGTACTGCTGACGGGTCGCTCTGAGCGTGGTTTCGGCGACCTCATCAAGAAGATGATCCAGAGCAAGGGCCTCGACTTCGACATGGTGGGCCTCAAGCCCGCCGTCAGCCCGACGAACCAGGCTTTCAGCAGCACGATGCACTTCAAGCAGCTGTTCCTGACGGCGGTCATGGAGACTTACAAGAACGCCGACGAGATCCGGATCTACGAGGACCGCCCGAAGCACGTCAAGGGTTTCAGAGACTTCATGGCGGATTACAACCGCAGACAAACCATCAACGCTACGCGCACCCGCGGACCGATCACAGCCGAGGTGGTGCAAGTGGCCGACCTGTCTACGACGCTGGACCCTGTCATTGAAGTCGCAGAGGTACAGCATATGATCGACCTTCACAACGCGGAGATCGCCAAGCAGCCTATCGATGTACGTCCCCAGAGGCTTCAGATCAAGAAGACAGTCTTCTTCACGGGCTACATGATCAAAAAGGAGGATACTGCACGGCTCGTGAAGCTCGCTCAGATCCCGTCCGGCATGCCTGACCAGGAACTGAAGCATCATGCTAACAATATCCTCATTTGCCCACGCCCGTGCCCAGCGAGCATCTTGGAGAAGGTTGGTGGCATGGGTGCCAAAGTAACCTGGCAGGTCAGCGGTCTGGGATGCTACGAGAACAGCATTTGGGCAGCCAGTCTCCGGCCCGTTCCTTTCCAGACAAAGTTTCATACTGACAACCCGATTCCCTTGGTCGTACTCGCTCTTCGCAAGGGCGCCCGTCCCGTCGACGCCGGTAAGATAGACAACTGGCAAGTCGTCCCTCAGGACAAAGCGTTGGTATTCGAGACCACTATTGGCGAGAAGATGATCCTTCGCATTGAGCCCGAGGACCCCCACGAGGATGAGTACGAGTCCCTCTTCGCCAACAAGTCTTCTAAGAGAAAGCACGATGGAGGGGACTACTCCCGTGACCACCGGCGTGCTCCGTACAACGGCCGCAACGAACGCCGAGACTTCCACTCTGGACGTGGCCGGGGCGGTGGCGGCGGCTTCCGTGGTGGTAGGGGTGGTGGCAGAGGTCGCGCTAAGGGCGGACGTGGACGCGGAATGCATGGCTACCGCTCTCTGGACGACGTCGATCGTAACCAGCAAGGCGGCTACAGCCAGCCGGTCGACTACGACGACTCCAACTACCCCTCCCTTCCTGCGGCACCGGCACAGCAACAGGGTGGTTTCTACGGCCAACAGCCGCAGTACCAGGCTCCCTACAACGCTGCATGGTCCACGGGACCTCCACCAAATGCGCCGACTGGGCCAGCCCCAACGGGACCGCAGGGACGTCCCATGGGAGGCGGCGGTGGCCCCAACTACGGCGGTGGCGGCGGAAGCGACTTACAGAACTACTACTAGAAGAAGAAGAGGTAGATCGCTCTGTCGCTTTCGCATGAAGCGGGCATCACTGGAGTTTCGTCGGTCGGGACGGCTTTCGGACATATGGATCGATTCAAACAACTGTCGTATATGATGGGTTGCGGCCGCCGAGGCCAACACTTTTTTTGGTCGGACAAACACAAAAACGGGGAGACAAAAAGGACATTGTTATGTGGGAATTTGCATGTTTATGCAGGATTAGCTTGGCGTCTGGCGGCTATGCTTTGAGATGATACCTTTACTTGCAATGTAGCAAGTTATTCTGAGACCATCAACCGACCTTTGCTGTTCGCCGTGACTTTTGACTTCATCACGATACCTTGAACTTTTACTCTATTTTGCTATTTTGGATCTGCTCTATCGGCAGCTGGACAACGCGCTCGACATGTCTATGACGGCTGCTTTTCAGGCTGCTGTTCAGGCCCCGTTCGCGCTTGAAGCCGACGCGCGACTGCCTCTCCTCTTCCTCTTTGGGGGACACAAGACCTACTCGTCGTCCTCGTCAGAGTCCTCCTCGGCATCCTCGAACCACTCAATCAGCGCCTTGCACTTCTCCTTGAGCGTGCCCATGCCCTCGCCCTCCTCCGCCCTCGCGTCCTCCCACCATGCCATGATACCCTCCTCCTCGAGCACGTCCAGGCTGTACAGCTTCTGCAGCGTGGCGGCGAGCAGGACGCCGGCGCGCGTCTGCTCGAGGTTGCGCGCGCCGAGGAGCGCGCGCTGCAGCGCGAGGACGAACTCGACCTGCTCCTTCTCGTTGTCGCCCTCGTCGCCGGCGACGCCGACCTCCATGACGAACTTGGCAGCGCCGCTCTTGGAGGCGAACGCCTTGTCGGCGGCCTTGGCGGGCTCGAGGCCGCCGTGTTCGGGCTCGAGGAGCTCGGCGGCGCGGCGGCCGAAGGCGACGGCGACGGCTTTGCGCATGGAGACGTCCGAGGCGTCGTTGGCGAGGCGGAGACCCATGAACTCGAGCTTGGCGGAGTCGAAGTCGCCCGAGTCGGCGCGGAGGGCGTCGAGGAGGCCGTGGACTGCGTCGTGGTGGAAGCCGGACTTGCCTGCGGAGTCGTCTGAGACGAAGGAGTCGGTGCGGGCGCGGTCGGCGAAGGGGGTGAATCCCTCGTCGTCGGACTCCTCGATTTCGGAGGAGAGAGTGGAGACTGAGGAAGTTGAGAGATTGAGGTGGGCGAGGTTGTAGATGAGGGAGCGTTGGAGGATTGAGGGGTCCTCGTCGTCTGCGTCTTCGGCTTCGGGGTCGACATAGCGCGCACCCTTGCCGGAAGCGCCGACGAGCGATGTGTCTGGGTCCACCGGAGAGCCGTTGTATGTGGTGACCGCGAGGACGGCGTTCTCGGGGATTTTGGTGTTTTCGCTAATTGTAACGCCGTATGAGATGAGGCAGCCGGCGTCGACTGAAGCACCCTTCCCTACAACGCTGGAGTCGGCGAGAATGGATCTCGTCACTACCGCACCATCCTCGATAATGGCGTCGTCCCAGATGAAGCTGTTCTCGATGCGGACGTTCTTTCCGATCCTGCACCGCCTGCCAATAATGCTGTCGGTCACTCTGCTTCCCGCGCCTACACTCGTGCCCTGGCCAAGGATGGATCTGGCGAGTGAGCTATCCGGCGCCAAGACGGTACCGTCCTCGATTGAGACCGCGCCAGCCGTCATCTTATACGTCTGTCCAGGGATCACGTTGCAATCGGGAACAAAGGGAAACGTCCAACGGCCGAGGACGTCTCTGCTGATCGACTCGTACATCTGTAGGTTGTTTGCGCGTGCGGCGTACCCGTCCTCCAGCACCTCGGCGTAAATGGCCTTTCCGTTCAGCTCCCAGTCCTTGAGCACACCGTGCAGGAAGTTTCGCCTGGGAAGCTCGTAGTCGAAACTCTCAGACCATAAAGCCAGCACTTCGGGGGTGCAGATGTCGATTCCGGCATCGATCAGGTCCCCGCGGATCTCGAAATCGGTGGAAAGCTCGTCGACGACTGCGGGGTCGAGGGACATGTAGTGGTCGCTCTGGAGGGGGTTCGTCTCGTCGTAGTGTAGGCATCGTTTCGTCTTCGAGTCCATCACGAAGACGGGGTTTACCGCGTTCGGCTTTGTCCTGTGCTCCTCCGCGCCGCCTGACCTGAGCACCACCGTCATGATGTTCGTCGCAGAGACCTCCTTGCGCGCCTTGTGTGACTTGAGAGCAGCGTCGAGAGAGATGTTCGAGACGACATCGCCGTGTACCAAGATGAAGTCGCCATCCATAATGCCTCGGCCATCGAGGTCGCGTAGGAAGTCACCCACGGATCGGGCATCGGAGACGCGGATAAACTGCAGGCTGGTGAAAGGTGTGCGGATCGACAGCGGCGACCAGCGGGAGGTGTTGATGTAGTTCTCAATCTGCTCAGAGTGGGAGCCGCAGTAGATATAGACCTCCTGGACGCCGTTCATGGCGAGGAACTCCAGGGTGTACTCGATGAGGGGCGTGTTCGCGAGAGGGAGGAGACACTACCCCGCGGGCGAGGGGTTAGCCGGCGTCGCATGGACTCGACAATCGTACAGACGACTTACTCTTGGCTTCTCGACCGAAAAAGGAGCAAACCGATCCTGGAACGAGTCGGCGATGACCTGCAATGGCGCACGGCGTGGTTAGCGACCCTGAAGACTCACCCGGGCTTCTGCCCCACCATATGACGCTTGCGGGCTGCGAACTTACCACGGCCTGCAGGACGTCCTCCCGCTTGCCCTCGGCGGCCTTGCCGGACTTCTTGCCCTTGCCGGCGCCGGATGCTTTTCCCTTTTGCTGCGACATGATCTGTTGAAGTGGATCGCGGGTGGTTCGGCGCTTTTCAGGGAGAGAGGGAGGGGGTAATCTGCTCTGTCGCGAGTGAGTCAACGCCATACCACAGCTTGGGTGTTGGAAATTTAAGGTGAGTCAACTGCTCCGATGCGGGGTGGGCCGTGCGCTAACCCTCCCTCGGTGTGCCTCGGTCAGTGTATCTCACCGAAATGTCACTGGCAACTTCATCAGATGAATGCGATTGCGACAAGCCAGATTCGAGACGAATAATTTGGGTTTATTTGAATATTACTCATCTCAATCTACAGCACGCTTAGTTCGGACCAAATTGGCAAAAAATGTGACGCAATGTAGGCGACCCTCCAACCCTTGCGGTTTTCTTCTGAACTTGATGCAAGCCACAACTTACAAGAGGCAAGAGAAGAAGGGTCTTAAGTTCCGCGTTCTTTCTCAACGGCTTTTTTTCTCAAATACAACTTCTTTTGTATTACAAGTTCTTTGATCTGCAACTCGAGACACTCATCTTCAAGGCTCACCATCCAGCATTCGATTCGTGGCACACAAGCAATATCCGACTCCAGCTACAAATCCTTCAATATGTCTCCCTCCACCATTCGCTTCCTTGTTCTTTCCGACACTCACCATACAGGTTTCCCAGATCCAGCGACGCTTCCAAAAGCAGATGTCATTCTCCATTGCGGGGACCTAACCATGAGAGGCGGGCTTTCGGAGTACAAACCCACCATCGAGCGACTTTCAGCATGCAACGCCGAGCTCAAGCTCGTCATCCCCGAAAACCACGACTTGACTCTCGATCAACACTGGTGGACGCGCCACTGCCAGGAAGAGGACGCAGACCCCGACGACCATAACAAAGCCGGAGCCATGTTCGATTTCAAGACGACCGGCATTCGGCTGCTCGACGAAGGAAATTACACCTTTACGTTGCGAGATGGACGATCTTTCACACTGTACGTGTCGCCATACACACCATATTTCTGCGACTGGGCTTTCGCGTATGGCTCGCAGGAGGATCGCTTTGGGCCCGATGCTGTCAACCCAATCCCAAAGGGCGTCGATGTCGTTGTCACGCATGGTCCGCCTCGGGTGCCACACGACGACTATTCTCTGGATCAGATCCAGGAAGGCAAGTTAATTGGTTGCTCCACGCTATGGACTGCCATTCAACGCACTCGGCCTCGCCTTCATTGCTTCGGACACGTACACGAGGGTTACGGGGCGAAGGCTGTGAGATGGAGGAGCAAAGAGACAGCTGTGAGTTGGGCCACCGAGGCGAAACCACCATTTGATCTTTCGAACGCTACCAAAGGAGAAAGCGGTGCTCTGGTTGCTGACAGCGAGGGCGAGACGCTACTTGTCAACGCCACTATCATGGATAACCAGTATGATGCCAGAAACCAACCCCTGATAGTTGACTTGGAATCGTCACGAGCTTCACTTTGAAGGGCAAACGTAGAAGCAGAGCCAGGGGTCGAAAGTATAAATAGTCATTGCGAGACCAGCAGGGTGGTGATGGTCAAGTATGTAGTCTAATAGCCTCGCGAGATTTTGAAAATACTACTGCAAATTTTCTTCCAGGAAGAGCCTACTATAACAAACAAGCCGTTCAAGTAGTGCTATACACGCATTCTGCTTTCCAAATAGGTCCAAGTGGCCATCAAAGTGGAAATAACGGATAGACGAGGAGCAATAAAAGAGACGGCAATGAAAAGACGTTAGAAGGACAGTGGCGAAGTCATCTCCCGTTCAATCTCGAGGTGCCGCGCAAGGGGAAGCTGACGGCTCAAGACTATTCCCTCCTTGGATATGCCAGAAACGCAGAGGTACCCAGTCGTTCCCGTACGTGCTCAACGACTTCGACATCCTCATGTAGATGGATCTTCTCGTATCTGGCCAGATTGTCAGGGAGCAACAACTGCTTGTGGACGGTGAATTTGGTCTTGTTGGGGCCGGCGTAGGTAGTCACGACTTTGGAAAACATCCTTGGTGTTATGTCAGTTCCGCTGAAAGAAAAGATTTGGTGATGGGGAACAAGCACACCGGGTCTCTTTGAGAAAAGGACCCATGGTCTTCGTCGACGCGTCTACCTTGTTTCGATCTACCTTGATTTGTTCAACAGACTGGTCAAAATCTGACGCTTCGCGCTTGAGCGAGACTTCAGGAGAAGCCATGATGACTCTTGACGTTGCGGCGCTGCATTATCTTTGCAGGTGGTTGAAGAACCAGGCGGACGTTTGAAGGAGGAAATTCTCGTTTGGGTCCAGCCGTCTGAGTATAGCGGTCTTAGGCAGGCGGCTTCTATTTTCCATTGCCGAGGAAGGTGGCCGTTTGCTTTGAGGCTCCTTCCTGTCTTCCCACCCATGCTCCTTCCCGATGAACGCTCACCACCTTTCATGAAACCCTGCCATACCCAACCCACTTCTTCTCCTCTTCTCCTCACCTTTTCTTTAACTCATCACCAAAATCGTTTAACTCATCACCAAAATCGTCGCCAAGATGAGGCCTGAAAAGCGACCTGCGCCGGACGGCGATGACAGTACCGGTGATGGCAAAAACATTGGCAACGTCGGTATCTTCGGCAGCAGCAAATTCGGTCCGTTCAACGTCACCGAATCCTCCGCTCCCAAGAAAGCCAAGCCGGTCGTCACGAAGCAAGAAGACTCCCGTGGTCCTGGTGCCAGTCCATTCGTTCCATCCACGAGGCCCAGAGGACTGCATGAACCCTGCGTGGGAATCGGCAGGTGAGACTTGACTTCGCTGCCTGTCTTAAAAACTACCTGACATTTTCTACGTACAGATTGAGCAAGAGCATCGTCGCTATCCGCGCGGGACCCGGCAGAGAGACCTTCTTTGTCCACCCACACTTGCTCATGGGCTGCAGCGAGTTCCGCAGACAGCTGGGCACGGTGGCCAACGGTGTCACAGAGATCGATCTCCCGGACGAGGACCCCGACATCATCAGCTTGATGATATTTTGGTGCTATGAAGGTAAATTGCCTTCTGTGAAGTTCTCTCAACAACAGGAACCTGCTTTGGGGGGTGCAGATGCCACAAATAAAGATACCCCAACTCAGCCATCACGAGGACCCATGACAACTGAGAGAAACGTAAGCGTTACCACGGTCGGAGACAAACTCGCAACTCCCAAGTTATTCGTTCCTGATGTCTTCACATGGAACGCCTATCTTGGCGAGACGGGTTCCAGTCCACGCAAACCGTTCCGGCCTGAGTTTTATCAACTCAAAATACTCAAGTTGGCCATCATGGCAAGCAAGAAGGACTGGCCCGAGCTCTTCCGGAGTGCAGTGAGGATTTACTGCAAGGGCGAGTTGCAGTTCAACCGGACTTGCCCCGCTGTCTGTCACATCGATGCAGTTTGTACCTTCAACGCCCCGAGAGAGGTGAGCGGGCTCATGATGGACTACGCCAGATATCTTTTTGACAGGCACGGCACGCTCTTCACCTTCGCCAACAACACAACCCCGTCTGGGTTGACCTTCGGCAGTAAACCAAACCCGTCTGTGTCGAAGTTCATGGCCGAGCTTCGCACCGTGGAGAAATACAGCAAGGTTCCCAGCGAGAACCCGCTTCGCCAATACGCGCCCCCAGCTGAGGATGCTGGCAATAACAGTGATGACAGCAAGGAAGGAGGCCAGGTCTGAGTGCAAGGAGCATGGAGCCAACGACTTCTAGATGGGTACATGGAGCATGCAATACTGAGCAGAGGTTCTGGGCGACGTTGAACGGACGTTCTGAACGACTGTACCACACATGCGAGGAGAGTTGCGTGAAGCTGAAGGACTATACTATCAGCTACCGACGCGAGGAATGTGTAAAAGTCAACTCGAAAAGTGTATCGATAGCATCGGAAGCAGGCAGAACCAAAGATTACTGATCAGGACAAACATTTTACCCAACGTGAACCCCCTCCAGCCCGATTTCGTGGTTCAAGAAGACCAGCACCAGGGCAATCCAACCCCAGACTGCGTTCCATGGCCAAGACTTTTGATCGAAAGGGAGATAAGATTCGAGCGATTCTTGGGGTTCAAAACACGCAAAACACACGCCCTCGTCGTCCACTCACTTGAGGAAGGCGGAAAACACGGGGCAGGACGAGGGGGAGGGAGGAGAGACAATAAGCAACGCGGAGCCGGGCGTTCGGCCAATTTCTGGCGGTCCAGTCAAGCGGCCGACTATGGTTGTCCAAGACAGCACCAACTGACAGAGTTCGTTATCCAAGACAACATAAAAAAGGCCGATTATACTGTTCCGGAAAAGCATGTCTCGGGGTCTGAACGCTCCCCCTCTCGCGCAGAATGTTGGACCAAGGCGGCAGGCGAGTCTTCTGCCCACTGCGCAACGCTTTCCCCAGTCTCCCTGGCATTGATACACCAGGGCCCGGCAATGTGGCCTGATCCGTGAGCAAGTTCCGAGCCCTTGGGTCCGGCTGGATTGCAGCCTTGCCTGAGACGTTTTGCAAGCCACGAGGATTCCTACGATGCGCGGAAGGCTCGGGTTGGCGGGGGATATTGGGGTGGCAGGTATATCTGAGTCGCTTCACAGGTTAAGGATATCACGAGGTTGTTCTCCACGGGCGGCAAGTGCCGTCGAGCATGTGCCGTTGTCGACGGTTGTCTTGTGTGCCATACTGCTCTTGGTCTGCATCGTGAAGCCTCATTCCATGCGAGATATCGCGCTTGTCCACGATGAGAAAATCCCGGCGGCTGAGGTCTGAGTATTGAGCGCAAGGCAATCTCGATGAGACCCACTGGATCTCGAAGAACTGCGGACCTGATGCCATGTGAAGGGTCTCAATCTGACCCCACTTGAATTGGGTTTTCCTAGCACTGATCTGTCCGGCGACCGTTCCCGCCAGCAGTGAGCGTTTGGCGCCGCATCCCGAACGGTGTCGTGAAGTTCGATATTGAGGTCGAGACCCTTGGGTCTAGACGCTGCCGCGAAGCGCGGTTGAACTGCAGCGGTCTGCAGCGTTCTCGGACGGGGGTCCAGTTCGGATCCGGCGGGCTTTTTTGGCGAGGGTTGTTCTCGGAAACGCCAATGTCGATCCCCTGCTCATGTTACGGGATCCTTCCCATGTTCCGTCTCCAACAAATGGGACACGCGCAAAGGGGAAAGGGAAAAAAAAAAAAAGGTGCTACACGTGAGGCCGCCGAAAAACACCCGACGGCGCTGCACACAGTTCGGTTCAACACGTTCGCCATCCAAATGGCGCGCGGACGAGGAAAACGTGCGCACTCATCCCTCGGACAAGATCTGATGGTTCTGGTCCCTGAATGCGCGATGTCACGAACTGTCGGCCCTCCAGAGAAGAGATAACCAATGTCCAGCGGCCAAATGAAATTGTCCATGATTGCTCCGTCACCCTCCTGAACGCTCCGTTCAGTTTCGCGCCAATTGGGATCACCCCCTGGCAGCTGTGACGGATGGGAACGGGGACCCCCCGTCAGTTACTCACCTGACGCTGCGAAAAATCTTGACCGTCCCGCCTCATCATTTCTCTGCGTCTCCCATCGGTGCGGGAGATCTATCCTGGTCCTGGGCGCCAAGGCTCACGGTGTGGATGGTGTGACCGTGCAGAACTGTCCAGCGTCCCCTCAATTGCGTCATACTGGAGCCAACTTTGATGGGACAGGCCGGCTTGGAGGGTTGTATTCCTCAGATGCTAACTTCAGCCTCCATCAGCATGTGTCCCATGTTTCGCTCGGACATCCATGATGGCTTCAAGCCCAGACGGGGAGGAAACAAGAAGCTTCAGCTGGCAGGCAGGCTCTGGTCTTGTCTTGTCTGGTCTGTACATGGGCAAAAATAGCGAGAAAGCTAGCAGGCTAACAGCTTAAACTGGCAGCAACTGCGTCACTCTCCAGCATGCTTTGACGACATCCCAGCGGTCTGTTTAGGAGCGTTGAGCCCTTGGCGTCGCCGTCGCTCCGTCCAACTTCTTGGTTTGCCGATCTTGGCGCCGGATGGTATGCTGTCCGTTTCGGAATCCGCCTGAAGACTGCTCTCGCGGGCGACTGTGCTAGGACGTGCCGCGGATGGGTCCTTATTCTGCTGGTCCCCCTCCGCTGAACCCCTCAAAAGCAATCGGCCGACGCTTTTTTCCCTCTTTGAGTCCCTTGCATTGGTCGAGCTCCAAGTGAGGGGGATTCATCGCGTGTTTCCTTCCAACTGGGTCAGCGCAACGCTGTGTAGCGTAGCGTAGCCATAGCCGTCTGAACTATTGGAGGCAGCTAAGCTTGACTCTGTGCTCGGTTCAAACCGACACAAATGTACCAAGGAACTGGGTTTTGGATGACATCTGTGCCGCAAGTTTCGAGTCAGGACTCGAGAACGAATTACGTCGCACGCGTTGGCGAACACGCGGCGGTCCTCCACCAAGATTTAAATGGCTTCTGCGAACATGCGCGTGAAAGCTTACCCCGGATGGTAGATTGGGATCAGCAAATCTGCGACCGAAGATGAGCAAACTGCGTCGCATTGTCAGCGAGATTAGGGGACATAAGGCCCAAGCTCCGAACTGTAACTGCTGTTGAGTCTTGCGATTCAGCCGCTGCCGGTCATAATTCGCAGAAATACGACTAGATTACGACAGAAGCCCTGGTGCGAGGAAAGCACAGTAGAAAGGCGATACGGATAATTTGCGACTTCCTTATCATCGGGACCGATGAATGCACGCCGGCTTCAGGTGGAAGGATGCCCCCCAGCCCGGAAGGAGGCAGCGCCGCAGCGTGGCACCGCTTGTCCTGTCAGCCCGTGTTGCCCGTCAGATTTTGGCCGCACGGCACACTCAGAGACCATTTTGGGACGTCTTGGAAGATCCATTTAATCAAGGCTGGCCAATCTGGAGGCAGCCATCGCGGATCGTTGCCATATCGATGGCCCTGGATGGTTGGGCGGAGGATAGGCCACTCGCCGTCAGGTTGCCAAATCCACATCCATCCACATTGCTGTCCACTCGGTGGCCATGTTGACCGCACAGTACGAAGGGTCCATGTCTTTTTGCTAGGCCGAGGGTCTCTCGGCTGGACATTTTCGTCTTTGACCGCCAATACACGGCTCTCTGCGGAACGTGGGGATGCGACAATATCAGATCCAAGAGGCGCAAAGCTGCGACTGTCTTGTTCGAGGAGGCCTGCTGGGCTGAGGGAAAACATATTGGAATGCGGCGACGGAAACAACCGGTGTTCAAAAAATTTGAGCTCGTCGAGCTCGGGCAACAGACCGAGGCGTTCATAGGTCAGGAGGCAAGGGGTTCTGCTTTTTTCGATGGCGGCGCGACCAAGACACTCAGTGCTTGAACAGCCATCGAGCAGCATGGCATGCGGGAGGTTGTCTGTTGGAATTTCTTCTGGGGCGTCGTGGGCGTCGTCTGGGTTCCGCCGCCGTCGGCGCTGGCTCCGAGTCCCCTATGTCTCGGGCTCCCTGGTTGTCTCGCGTGCGCTACTCATCTGGATCGCCTTGTGGATTCAGTACCGGACTCAGGTTATAGGTAGCGGTCGAGGTGGACGAGACGTTGTACTGCACTATGCAGTAGTCATTACTGTGGCCGATGGCCAAGTTCAGGGTCCAGTACGGAGCCGTCCGGGATATAGATGATGTTGAGAGAGAGTATGTTTTCTCCTGACGAGCAGGTCAGCTTGATGGTAAGGTTATTCTATGGCTTGCAGGGTGTTGAGCCAAACCTTGAGCTACCAGTCGACGTTGGGAAACTCTTGAATTGCATTGCCCTACGTAAGAACGCATAGAAAGCAGTACCTTACATCAGGATGGGACGAAAAGCAATAGCCGGAGCCGTGTTGCGGTCTGCGGGCTGCGGACACGGGCTGGGAAGCCGTCGCCGTCTAATGGTCGGCAAGGTCTTCTCAACTCGGCCAAGCGGGCGACCGCCTCATTCATCACTGCTCAACTCGCGTCTGGCCTGATGCCGGAGCATGCACGTAGCGCGGTGCAGTCAGGTCGGAGACTAGTCGGAACCACGAACCGGGGATGTCCTGACAGAAGTGCAACACGATACGGTGAAAACACCCCAAAGTGAGATGGATGTGGGTTCCTTGAGGTTTGTCTGAGGTTCTGGATAGGTAACATCAGCAGTTTCCATCAAGCTCGCTGTCGGTACCGAAGGTGCCAACGCAAATGGAAGGCAGAAGTCGTCGGTCGCAGGCCGACTTTGTCAATCATGAGCAAGGTTTCTGGCGTCTGTGGTGTCTGGCAAGTCAAGCCTGGGAAGGAGCTTTGCAAGATGCCCCCGGCCCTGACTGACGTCTGTGGCCAACTGGGTGCGGGCGGCGAGAAAGGGAACAAACAGGACGGGAAGGCGTTCCTGAGTGGCGGACAAGGTGGCCGAGGGAATTCCGACAAGTAGCACAAAGTACAGTATGAGGTCATTGTTTTCGACACGGATCAGCAGTGGGCTCCTGCAGCCGGCAGCAACTGGAGACGTCCCAGCTGTGGAGAAGGCTGCAGCTCGGTTCCGACGAATGGGAGGATGAAAGCACAAGGGCTGATCCACGCCGCGGGTGCCGTCTGTCCCCATCGCAGCTTGACCACTTCCAGTGCAACCTGGGCACCTGGGCTTGTCCACCGCGGTGTCAAATGGGATTGGGATAGGGATAGCGACAGGCACAGGGCTGGCTGAGGCAAGGCAAGGCCCTCTCTCCAGGCTCTCTGATGGCGACCGGGACGCTGCACGGCAAACTGGAGAAGCCTGAGGCGAAGGTGACAGCGAACGCCGAGTCTAGCCAGCAGTTCGGGCTCCAGTGGGTTTTTGATAGTCGTTAGAGTCGTGGTGTCTACCTTAGGTAGTACGTGTTGCACAGAGGGCCACTTAGTAAAAGCACACCTGAGCAATGATTGTACCATGGGCAGTGGGCAAAGTTGTGCTGCACATCTGACGGGTCTTGATCGTCATAATATGCATATCCCGTACACAAATCACAAATCAAGTCAACCACGTTCGCCCGCTCATTAGAGCAAGTGCAGGTGCACCCCGCCTGCCCCACGACACACTCGCTCACCTTCAGTGAGTGGACGCGGACGCAGCTGCACCCACCCACCCACGCAGCACCACGCCTGGCAGCTCCAGTGGCAGTGGCACCCGCCGCCCGCCGCCCGCACCGCACCCGCTTCCGCACCACGCAGCAGCAATCTGAGGAACCGAGGATTCCTTACCTTACCTTGCCTCGTCCGCCCTGCCATCTGCACTTGCACTGCACCTCACACACTGCAGCACAGCACCCAGCAAGACAGCCTGCCCTGCTTGCCTTGCCCGCGGAAGTCTGAACCTCACTCAATAGGCGAGGCAGAAACCTCCCCCCTTCCAGTGCCCGAGAGAGTGGGAGGAAGCGAACCTATCTTACCTACCTTGCCTGGCGATTCGGCCGTCACGTCTCCCCCAGTCCCGGTCGCCCCCATTTTCATCAATCTAAGAAAACCCATTCCATCTCCCGTTTTGGAGCCCCCAATACGCTCCAGGCGCGAACCAGGAACAGGCATCTGGGCAAATTCGCATCTCGCAGACTGTTCCACGGGCACTCAAAGGCTGCAGCACTGCAAATTCCAACATACGAATTCCCATCCCTCTCTCCACCGTGTTTCCCTTCTCGCCCAGCCGACCCGACGGCTCCTCACTCCCTCCTCATCATCCTCACTTACTCAGTATCTGTGTGTGACCTGCCAGGCTGCGATAGACAAGACACCTATCCAGCGGCACGTCTCCCGATAGCCTTCGGCTCTCGCTTTCCGCCCACTGTTTTCCAATTCGCGATTCCCATCGTTGTCGTATTGCATTGGATTTGTGCCTCGCATCCGCCCACAGTCCCCAGCATCCATCGCCGACAACACTCACCTGTGCCCTGCATCACTCGAATCGCCAGGGTTGAATTCTTCCCTGCTGCCTCGCATTCGTTCTGCTTTCTGAGCCTGAGCAGTAGCAGCACCCAAGAACCGGGCAGGCAAAGGCGATAGCATCGACGACGACGACGACGACGCCAGCGGCTGCGGCTGCGGCAGTACGAGCGCGAACGGCAACGCCAGCGCCAGCATCAGCACCAACACCACCACCACCCAATGGGAACCGGTACCAGCTCATGCGCCGCCGCCCAGCGCTAGATCAAAGTACAAAGTACCCCATCACCAAGCAGAACCAGCAAAGCAACATCCATCCACCATCATCCACAAAGAACGCAGCAAGCACACAGCACAGCACAGCACACCAGTCTCCAGAGACACCGCACCACCACACCACACACCACAACTCACACGCACACCCCATCCCCCGTCTCCTCTCCTCCTCTCCTCCTCTTGCTCTCGTCCAACAGCAGGCCGCCAAATCCAATTCAACCCCATTCCCTGTCGGGCTACCCAAGTCACTCAAGTCTCCCAAGTCACCCACACCCCTCCCCCCTTGACCCCCGTCTGTCCCCGTACCTCCCTCTCCCTCGGCGGCCGGGTCCAGTCTGTACGAACCAGGACCAGCTAAGCACCGCTCCAGCAGCACCTCCAGCAGCCAGCCCAGAGAGCGAACTTGCACCTGCACCAATCCAGCAATCCCAGCACCAGGTCTAGCAAGCCTGCTCCACGTCGGGTCCGCCATCCATCTCTGTTCTGTGTGCCCTGCGCCAGTTCCCAGTTTCTAAGATCTTGTCTCTTGACCTCCACGAAACTTCACCTTTCGCCCAATTGAGCCTTCAACTCCTTCTACACTCGAGCCCGCCCGTCCCTTCACTCGGTTCTAGCGCTCTGCATCGATCGGCCCAATTCCACGATTTACCGGCTGCATGTTTTTCTCACGGCCTCTACTGTCTTAGATCCCTTACTACCCTCTCTAGCTTCCATTCCCGCAAGAGACCGCAACCGGATACGACTGCATTGCTGCCAAAGCTTCGGTGGAGATTGCCCTGCCCTCTCGCCAGCTTCGATTCCAAATCCCTGGACCCTTCTGGACTCGACACCTTCCGACGATTGTACCTTTCTTTTCCACTGAACGACGAAAAATTCCTATCAAGCGGGCCGTTGCTCCGTCTTGCAACTTCGAGAACCAAGTCTAGGCCTTCGAGATCGACCGGTCCTCCTAAAACTCCAAATCTTCCATCGTCACCCGTCCCCAAGCACCGGAGACAGACACACATCCTCTCGACGACTGCTTCCCCCCTCCCTCGGCGCCCATCATGCCCGAACCTGACAGCGTTGCCGCCCAAGGCGGCGGCAGCAACTCCAGCGATTTTGTGAGTCCATGGCCTGACGACTTCGTCTCTGATTTTGGTGCGATCCACCATGCTAACTTCCTGCGCGCAGGTTCGCAAACTCTACAAGTCCGGCTACCCCTTCGACGCGCACCAATATTGACCCGTGGCTGACATGTGTAACAGAATGTTGGAAGATCCGGCCTATTCGAATATTGTGAGATGGGGAAACGAAGGCGACACATTTGTCATTCTGGAGGTGCGCGGCAGTCGTACGCAGGGATGGAGGGCAACAATAGGCTAACCTGCTTGTAGACCGACAAATTCACCAACGACATCTTGCCGAAACATTTCAAGCACAGCAACTTCTCTAGCTTTGTCCGACAGCTGAACAAGTACGACTTCCATAAGCTGCGGCGCAACGATGAGAACAACGAGTCGCCATACGGCAAGCAGGTAGGGAGCACGACACATCACGCGGTCCTTGAAGCTAAACTCATTTCCAGGCCTGGGAATTCAAACACTCGGCCTTCCGGGCTGACAGGAAAGATAACCTGGACAATATCAGACGAAAGGCTCCCGCACAAAGAAAGACGCAGCAGACGGAAGACCAGTTCACAACTAACCAATCCATCAACTTGCTCCAGGAGACCCTGTTCGCGCAACAGCAGCAAGTGCAGGCGCTGCAAGAACAGGTCATTGATATACAACGCACCAATAAGACCCTTCTCGCTGATGTCACCGCCATGCACAAAATAATTGATGCTCAGAGGCAGGCGCAACACGAGCTGCTCAACTACATGGGGCATGCTGACGACAGGATGAGAGGCGCCCGTTACCAAAACCCGCATATGAATGGCGGCGGTGTCGACGAGCATGCCCCTGAGTTGCGACGAGCAAGGGAACTTCTCTCCAGTGTGCAGACGAACCCTGCAATAAACCAAGAGCTTGAAAGACTCAACGGCATGTACGCGCAGAGCTCTCCGCCAGACTCCGCCTCTGGCCTCATGTTCCAGGCTGGCTCTGCCGGCATGCCGCCCATGATGGCCGCTGAGCACCTGAACATGCGTCATCTTGTCTATCCTGTGGGCGAGAATGTAGGCATCGATCCGCTGTCCCAAGACCACTTCAACAATATCCCTTACACTCTGAACTCCTTGCCAATGAATGAGTTCCAGAACCCGGTTGTCAAGCCTGAGCCCGGCCCGGCCACACCAGCTCCAGCCGCCGTCGCACCCCCGCGCCCGCCTTCGAACGACAAGGGACTTTGGGGACGCAAGAAGCCGAGGGTGTACCTCGTCGAAGACGACCGGACGTGTTCGAGAATCGGTTCCAAGTTTTTGACGCAGATGGAGTGTATCGTCGAGATTGCTGTACGTTGAGATTGCAGATGATTTGCTCTGTAGAGGTATGAAGTGCCAGCAGCTGACAACCGTCTAGGAAAACGGCATCGACGCCGTCAACAAGTGTAAGGAGGTGCCATCCGGGCATTACGACCTCATCTTCATGGATATCGTCATGCCTCAGATGGACGGCGTGTCTGCGACACAGCTGATCCGTGAGGTGCACCCTGATGTTCCTGTCGTCGCCATGACCTCCAATATTCGCCCTGAAGACATTAGCCACTACTTCAACTGGAGTAAGTTTTCTTGACAGAATGTAGTGAAGCAAGCATTGACGTTTTCCCAGGCCTGAATGATGTTCTGGCGAAACCCTTCACCAAAGATGGCATGTTGCGAATCCTCCGCAAGCATGTGGCACACCTTCTCAAGGATGCGCCTCAGGACGATCTTGCTGTTGGGCATGGGGCTGCTCAGCTGCACGCCGCCAACATGAGCGTGCCTGCAATGAACCCCGGTGTTAAGTTCGACTCGACTCCTAGTCAATCGCCAGCGACAACTACTTCCTGGCACTCGCCTGGTCAGATTCACCAGCCATCACCCAACGTCACCAATATTGAGACTGGTTACCCACTAGGCAACACTGCGCAAATGGTGATAACTCCAACATCTGCGCAACGCCCAAACTTCCAAAACATGCCTCCAGGCATGCAGCAAATGCGAGTACCAGACCATATGGATGATCGCCCGGAAAAGAGGCAAAGGCTGTACGGTCCACAGGGTGGATACGCCTAATATACCACAACTGTTAAAACATCAAACTGCGGTCCCCCCCAAGTTCGCGCCAGCACAATCGTCGCTGTCGCTAATTGGGGTCGGACGGCTTGATCCATTTCCACCACACATGGGACTCTGACTGTGTCGAGTAGACGGTCGACAGGTCAAGGTTCTCGGAGGTTCTTTCCAGATTACTATACCCAAAGGGTCGGCAGTAGTGCAGAGCGACAAAGCGATGAACTGTAAGAGGAGGAAGTAGAGTTGGCGCATGATACCAAAAGTTCGTCGAGAATGATGGCGACTGACGATGTCCACCGACAGGGCATGTCGCCTGTCGACTCTGGCATGGATGATGACCAGATATCATGGCCAATGAGGCACAGAAGCCTTTGCGGCCAACAGGCTCAGTGATCGGCGTTGGGAGGGAAGTTTTTGGTTCGCGGTTTAGAACCTGTAAGGGATGCGTACGGCGAATTTGGAAAACCATATGCTGCCATCTAGGAAGAGGATCAACTCCTGGTCACGAATATATACATACCTACCTTCGCTGCGTACGAAAACTTGCTCGTTAGATGACCCGATGTGGACCACAGCAGGATGCGATGCTTTTGATGTGGACATACGGGTTGGTCAGCGGGACGCCCGGACGTAGGTTCGCCAGTGGTTCGCCAGTGATTCCCTGCCCTCCCGGCCAGCTTCCCGGGGCATAGATAAAGGCGCAGCAGAGCGAGGGAGTCAGAGGGATGCACCACCTGCAGCTGAGTATCCGTAGGTACCCTTCTGAGCTGTCGTAAGCCTCTCCAGTGTTCTTTCCAGTCCTCCACCCAGCATGTGCTCTGCAAGGCCCGGGGTTGTCATACAGATCTCGGGTGACCCAGGACCCTGAACCCTTGCGGGTAGACGCGCAGTTGCAGGACAACACGCAGCGCCGCAGCATAGCAAAACCGTACGGGTGGTGACTGAGTGCCAATGGGCAGCGGCTTGGAAGGGAAAGGGGCCTGGATGGGTCCGTAATGTTTGGTGTGTGTAGCGTTGAGGCCTGGGACCCCCCGCACTCACGAGCGGTCGATTGCGGTCTGGACCACGGCAGTGTGGCGCCCGGTGGTCTGATGTGGCCGGGGTCCCTGCCAAGGCGGTCCGGAAGGGCCTAGAACTCTGGGATTCACCTCAACGGTACCACGCGCGTGTGAGTTTGTCGTTTTCTGATTTCCCTCGGGGATTTTCGTCCGAAGGGACCTTGCTGCTGTGCTGCGCCCCGCGGGAAGGAGAGATTTGGTCCCACAGAGGATGCTCGTCTGCTACCATTCGGAAGTCGGGGCGAGCGGCAACGTGTTTCTGAGGGCGGGATTTTCGTAGGGCTACCGTTTTGTACCGCGAGTAAGGTTCCATCGATGGGATTCGCGCATGGAGGGTGTGGAGTTTTTGAGTTGAGATGTGAGAAATCTGTTGATGTCATGGAACAGATCTCACGTCTGTGCAAAGCAGGCAGACTCGTCTGGGGAAAAAGATGGGAGAGAGGAAGGCCTGAAGGGTGTTCGTCTGCGTCCGTCTGATGTGGGGGAGGTCTGCAGAGTTTAAGGCAACATCGGCCGGAATTGGGACGAGGAAAGCCAAGGCGCATGGGCCAGGCTCCTCTAGCCAAACGTCCTTGCAGCACAAGCGAAGCCCGTTTGAGGGCTACGATGGGCTGGACCCTTGAAGTCAGGCGGTTGCTGCGTAAGTGGTTGGCGATTGGTGGTCTTGGCATGTTGTGTTAGTGGATGGATGCTGGATGCATATGGGGGCTGATGGGACGAGATGGGACTTACATGTCAAGACAGTCATCGCCATTCGGGTCTAGTCCCAGTGACTGTGGCCAGCGGAGATGAGGGAGGGCAGCGGTCAGGATTGTGTGACTGCTCGTGACTGGTTCCTCTGAAGTGAGGTTTACGATGGCAGCGGACAGTATCGACTTCTTGGGCAAGATACCGGTACGGAGTACTTGGGAGCCCAGGGAAGTCGTTCAACAAGATCCCATCACGGATGATGCCGCTGGTGTTTTAGACATCTCAATGAAAGTCGACGGAGATGTAGCACGTAGGTACTGTTCCTGTGTCCAGGCCCTGCTTCTGTCGGGGTCTGAGACTCGATGTAGGAGACTTGTCGCTATTGCTCAGAAAAGTTCGACAGAGATGACCCTATCGACGTTTTGTGCGTGCCTGGTGAACAATAAAGCGCTCGGAAGAAGCCATGTTGGCTAGTGACGGGCGAGGCTCTTCGATAACACCACCGACGTAGCTTGCATGCCTGCCGTGGAAAGGGTCTGGTCCATTTAGACCCTTGTCGTCCAAATTCCGGAGGCCATGGGGGTCATCTGCGACTGTTGATGGGAAGCTCTGGGCGTTCGTCCGGCGATCGAGAAGGGCAGCTCAACTTTTCGAGGGAGACGGAAGTGGTCAAGTTGTTGCTCATCGTGCGAGGCGAGGGGCTGGGTCGTCGTCGTAAATGAGGGCAACGAACAGTTCGGAAGCGACGGAGCTGGTGGGTGTGATTGTGTCGGAGGCAAACGAGGAAAGTCGAGATGAGTCTGTGGGAAGAGAAGTGGTCTGCTTTTTTCCACTCTAGGCTGTTGGCTAAGAGGTCCTGCCTAAAGGGTGAAAGATGACTGGCTGGTGCTGGCCGTGGGCTGGGTCTAGATTCGGATCATTGGGGGGGCTTCATGCGAGATGGTCGCAACTACCCGCGTCGGCAAGTCACACTGCACCTGGCAAAGAAGGAAGGGGTAATGGGGATTGAAATACCCATTTCCCTCGTTGAGTGCCTCTTTCTTTCTTCATGCATCCCAAACAAGCGATCCGACGTTGGATAGGCTTCTCCGAAAGCGAACACGTATGTGTGTCGGCATGGGCAATTGACCGAAATAACGTGAAGAAGGATGGGATTCTCGGAAGCGAAGATCTCGATCTGGAAGTCCGGTCTCCATTCTTCGGATGATGTGATGATTGATTAGGATGGGAAAGCTTGGGACGGCCGAACACACCACGCGGGACGAAAGGCTTTCTTTTTGCACTTTGAGGGTGTGCCAAAGATATTCGGAAGCGAGCAAGGGCGCAAAGAAGGGTCTCGGCCCGAGACCCCCCATTCATTCAATTCCCATATTTGCTCGGTGCTTGCTGTTTTCTTTGCCATCCATCATCTTTCTTCCCGTGATGGAGGGTGGATGGTTATCAGCCGATCGTCCTGGCCCTTGCCTCATCCCGTCGTCCATACCATGCCTACGAGCTGAAATGTCTTCACCGGCCCCTACCTGCCCCAGTCCCCTCATCCCGCGCGGAATCCCAGCATCCTGGAAAGATGTGACCGAACCGACGATCACTCATGTCTCGACACATGGCTAGCTGAACGGGGGCCCCGAAGCGCAAGGCCAGCCGAGAGGGGAATCTGCCCAACTTTCTCCCGTCTCCCTTTGCCCGTTGGCTCCCAATGAGCGGTCCGTACCCACCACACACGTGCGATATGGGTATCTCTGATGTAAAAGCGACATCTGTGGATGAGGAAAAAGAAAGGAGGATGCGGTAGACAGGAGAAGACGTGCTTTGGGTTGGGATGGACGACATTGGCGGGAATGGTAGGTTTTGGTGCTTTGCGAGCGAGACACGGGCGACGGTGTTTGCTTTTTCGCCCTTTTCTGGTCACATAGGCCTGGAACGTTCGTGTAACATCGCGAGAGATGCAGTGATAGGGTTTGTGCTATCTTGGCTACATATTTGCTCCTTGGTGTTCTTGGTGATTTCTGGTAAGGGGGCATTTGAGGCATTGAAGAATTGCGTGATGTTTGTGGTCAGATTACGCGTACATACGTCTCACTGAATCGGCCTCGCATCCTCTTTTCCCTGAGTCGGTGAGCTTGTGGTGTTCTTCCAGGTGGTGGGCTTCAAGAGAGCCCTCAGACAAGTCACAGGTATCACCGTCTTGAACAAGCTCACCGAGTTCTCCAGGCGAGTCTCAGACATCATCAGGCGACGCCCTTTTCAAAACTCGGTAATTGGTCATGGATTTCTTTGCCCCTCCCCCCTTCACACCTCTCAGCCCGAGCATGCCATTTTAAAAAGCGCCTTCGACCGTTGCGTCTGGTGGTTTGGTAATCATGCGATGGCGTTGATTCTTTCAGCGTTGGAAAGACATTTCGAGGGGCATGTTTTCGGCACACAGAAGCCCAAGCAGGAAAGCCCGACACTATCCCTTCCAGCAGTGATTGGGTCGGACTTCGTATAACGGGACAAGTCCCAAATTTCCCCCGTCACTGTGCGTGCGGCTGAAGACTTGTTAAGGGGGGCTGGCTATTGCGAGTCAACGGTCCTCGCATCTGCCTGTGAGTGAAGAGCTAGTGCGGTCGGTGGTAGGAGGATAGGACGTTTTACTCCGCGATCTTGGCATCAAAGTAGGCAGGGGCCATGAAATTAAGCATAATTGCACTGATACGATCTAATATCTATGTCTGATAATGGTTTACGTGGTAGCGATGAACCTTTTCTAAGGTGAGTTGATAACAGTTCATGTCATACCTTATGATCGAGGCTTCTCCTCGGTCACGAGCGAAGCGGGATATCAATTCACGATCAATCGTTCTACCCATACTTACAATCCGGAGCGACTTACACACTTTCGACGAATCACGCCATTTTACACCCATCCAAATACCCACTGCCCATTGGCCAATGACGACGAAGATTCGTAATCCCTGGCACTTTAGGTCGAAGCACCTTGTGATATTCCTACTTACGGGGTGCCAACTGTACGCGTGCTTCGGATAGGGCATGGGGAAGTGGTTCAGTGAAGACCAAAAGGTGATGTCCCGTTTACCAATCATACGCCGCGGTGCTTGCTGTTTATCAGGTATCAAATACTCAGTTTCATTTCCGTGTTCTGGGGATGGATTTCGAAACGCCGCGTCAGGTGTTCACGCAGAGGTTGGTCTGTCTGTTACTGTGCGTGTACCTTGGATGTACTCTCAACACCTCAGTGCCTATTTCTCACCC